CTACATATGAGCAGGAAATCATAACAAAATTAAAAACTCCAGCCACAAGACATGCTCCTGTTTACCTAGCCTCAGCCTGACACTCATATGGAATATGAATATATATGAACGCATCTGGAATACTGCATCCAGTTCTGGGCCCCTCAGCTCAAGAAGGACAGGGACTGCTGGAGAGAGGCCAGCGTAGGGCTACAAAGATGATGGAGGGAGTGGAGCATCTCCCTTCTGAGGAGCGGCTGAGGGAGCTGGGGCTCTTTAGTTTGCAGAAGAGGAGACTGAGGGGAGACCTCATTCATGTTGATAAATATTTAAAGGGTGAGTGTCACGAGGATGGAGCCAGGCTCTTCTCGGTGACAAACAATGATAGGACAAGGGGTAACGGACACAAACTGGAACACAGGAGGTTCCACTTCAATTGGAGAAGAAACTTCTTCTCAGTGAGGGTGCCAGAGCACTGGACCAGGCTGCCCAGAGAGGTTGTGGAGTCTCCTTCTCTGCAGACATTCAAAACCCGCCTGGACGCCTTCCTGTGTAACCTCATCTGGGTGTTCCTGCTCCGGCAGGGGGATTGGACTGGACGAGCTTTGGAGGTCCCTTCCAATCCCTAACGGTCTGTGGTTCTGTGATTCATGTCATGCTATGACCCTCTCCAGCCGTAGGACAAGAAACACTGCCTTTTCCTCCTGCTACTCCTGCTCCATTGAGTAGGCTGCACTACACGTGGTGCAGTGAGGCACAGCCGTACGACCACAGAGTGTCAGGTTGGGAGGGACCACAAGGATCAGCAGTCAAACCTCTGTGATACACCCGGGTAAGTCCCCCAGGACAAACACTTCACTCAGGAAAAGTATTATTTATTGCATGTATTTAATGAGGCTACTGATTAACGTTTGCAAAAGAAAAAAACAAAAGAGTCTTTGCAGAAACTCTGTATTACTCTTGAGTTCAGAAATAAAGGAAACTCCAAAGTAAGTCACAGGCTTGGGATGGAGAACAACTAAGTTATGGGTCACAAAGCATTATGTGATACTGAAAAAATTCCTATCAATTGAGTATGTGAAGTTTTGTCTCCCAATCCTTAGTCATACCTCTCCATATTAAAAATAAACCCTTTCAGTGATTCTTCCTTTGACGGGCAACAACTCTAACTTCCTGACTGACAGCAAGCATCGAAATTCAGCTAAGAAAGCACAGAAGGAATCTCTGTGGAAAGAACTGGCCTGTTTTGCCCAATCTGTATATAGCATATAGCCTTCAAATACTATTTCCTTCTTCTAGTAGAATAAGCTAGATCATGTTTCATTACTCGTAATTTTCACATCTGTGTGAAATTACTCCCTTGCCTCCTGAAATCTGTTGTTAGGAAGGACAGTTACTGGGAAGGACACACTTGATAAACAAGACGACTTCTTATTGCTTAGCTCAGTGGAACAAGACACTCAAGACACTAACAAATGTTTCCATTTTTACTTCAAAAGAAATTTAAGGATTAGTTCTTTCACGCAGAGACATTTTTTAGCACAGCAGTGACCTGGACACTTGAAAGCAAAAATAGCAAATTCAACTAATGTTTGAATTGAGACTGGAATTTCTGAAAGCCGGATGCATTTGCTCATTGCATTACGGTGTATTTTAGAGTGATCTGTTGGTATTGGTATTCAATTATCTGTGGATGACAGGCTACAAGAAAGCTAACAATTGTGTCAAGAGTAAAAACTGCCAGTCTGTCCTCTTTAAAGCAAATATTTAAGCTTCCAAAGGCGGATTATTTAGTTAGATCTGCCTAAGAGTTGGTACGTCATCTGCAACCAGTCTACAGGAGCTCATTTACAGTCGCAGGTTTGCACATTCTTCTTCCCCAGAATGATTCCTTGGAACAGTTATGTATTACCTTACACGGCTGTTTTATACACTAGCAAGGAAAGTCACAGGCAGCACTTCCAAAGTCTAGACCTTCCAAAGGTTTACAACTGAGTAAGTCCTCTTAAGCAACCAGAATTGACTCTCAAAATTCAACATTAAAAGATGTAACACAGCTTTGTGAAACAACATGAAACTCTGGTTGGAACAGCTAACAGAACTGCAAACCAGACACCAACATAGCAATTCATGTAAAACTGAACTCCAGTAATGCTGTGCAGCGTTGAGGACTCAGCAGGAGAGGGTGAAGTGTTCTGCTGGTCCCTCCTTCCCATCTGCTCACCCTTCCCTCCTCTGCCGTGGCTCAGAGAACTGTTACAGGTTAAAACAACTCTCGCCACCTGCGCTGTGCTGCCAAAAACACTTTTACCTCATTAAAAGTAATTCTTTAATCAGGTTATTTGAATGGCCACAAGAAAACCAGTGTTTGAAAGTCACTCCAAAGACAGCAAAACCACATCTCAATTGTGTGGTCACCATGATTTGTGAAATACCTTCCAGAGAACATCGGCATGGACATTCAGTGACGACAGCCTGCAGATATACTACATGGCTCTATCAAAAACTAACTAGGGTAAAGCCAGATGTTATTTAAAAATAAGAACCCTGTCAAACGTAAATACTTCCTAAGTCCTGTAGCATTACAAAGTGTTCACTAGACGTAGAAACAAAACTAGGAGGACCTTATGATTTCATTTACCTTTTTACATCAATTCTTCCTAAGTGGCAGTATTATTCACATGGCACACTTACATCTTTAAAGTATCGCTGTAAAGTCGTAAGCCTCACGTCATGCAGTGCTGCACAGGTATCCCAAGGGTATATTTGCTCCTCTTCAGAAGTTGGTAATTTCTTTGGCTCAGTGCTATTGCGACATTGCCCCAACACTGTATGAAGAAAAGCAGCACTAAAGAATGCAATGGATAACGATATGCTAAACAATTACGAAAACAAGCGGGACATTCTGGTTTGCATCTACAATGTGCTTTGTTGATGTTAAGCAGTGAAAAAATTATTAAAGAAACTAAAGACCTAAAGTACATACATACACAAACACGTACATACATATAGACATACCGACGGCTACTTTATTTTCTTTTTCTTTCAGTACCTACTTTCCTGACGGTCTATTACAGCTTTTGCAAACCCAGCAATATAACAGGAACTAGGAGGGAACGAAACAGTTTGCTCTTTTCCCAAACATTTACCAATTTTCTCAGTACCCTGAGACCTACACAAGTGCCTTGGACTATCCACAAAAAGAGAGGAGACTCCATCTTTCCAGGGTACACGAGACACAACCGTTACTCACGTACGTGTACTAAGAGCTGCAGAAGCACAGCCTGTCCAACAGGTCACACATCATACCTGAGGATGCTTGTAATAGCACCACTAGCCCTGTAGGTCTGTCTTCAGTAGAAGGACCACTTTGCCCACAAATAACACAATCATATATTGCCTCAGAAACATGCTGCTCTGACGTAGCTACCTCCATGGCAATATCAGCATCTGGCGACTCTAAAAAAAGGATAAGAAAACTGATATTAAAGAGGGAAAGAAATCAAACTGCATCTGCATTGAAGTAGTGACAAAACACCTCCAACAGAATTTATTTTACCTACAACTAAAGCATTGACAGTTACTTAAAACTGCTGCTGCTGCTTCAAACAGCAAGACACTTCACAATGAAGAACAAGTTCTCATATTCAAAATTATCCCCAAAGGAATTAAGTGTTTAGTTCAAGTTTTGTACTAAATCTGATATCTTTAAAACTTCTATGAAATTTCTATTTCATTAGTTACTATATTGAAAACTCCGACCATAGAGGGAGGAAGGACAATGAACATGAATCTCTACTAAACCCAGATTTGCTCATAACTGACCAACAACAAATAGAAGGAAAATTTAATCTGGAGACCTTAGAAACAATTTGAAGATGTTTAGACAAATGTGCAACTAAAAAGGAAAGATTTTTTTTTTTAATGTGAAGCTTGGGCAACCTTTAAAAATTCAAGGTGCATTAAGAAAGTAATCTGCTGCGACACAGCAGCTCTTTAGTTTAACATTTACTGTCTACAAGACATATCAGAGATCTGGTTTTCTAATGGTCCACTGTTATTTCGTACGTGGACAGACAGAAGCATTCAGGGATAAGGACCAGCTTTAAAGTACTGAGGCATTACACTCGATGGAGCTTTGTTCACATGACAGTGGTGACGGTTTTGTGGCAGGAGGTTACCCAAAATAGAAGCATTTTTATGATATGTTACAATACAAGGTAAGAATTCTTTATTGGCTTGAGAGAAAAGCACCTTAGGACTGAACAATCCTCTCCTGACTGCTCGAGCACACAAACAGTCAGCCTCTTGACCCAGAGGATAAGGGTGCTTTGTTTCTCTCCTAGAAGATATGTTTTCCAAAGGAGAACACTTCCTTCATCTCCTTGATTAAGTGGGTCAGAGTGCCAGACAGAGAACCCAAAAACCCCCTGTGCAGCAACAGTCCTCATGCAGAAATGCTTTTAGGAAAGCTGCTCTCCTCTGAAAGTTCACTGCAAGCTCAGCACAGGAGGCCTGCTGCTCTAAGGAGGGGTGTGCTGGATGTCAGACAGCATCTTTCTTTTCTGGGAAAAGCTCCATGCGATGCTCTCACTCCCCGGGAAGAATCAAAATCCCACTGTTGTAGGAACTGTTGGTTGACCAGTCAGTTATTGAGGGTCATGGAAATGAACTCGGATCTTCACTGACACACAGGCTTTGGTATTGCACACACGTCTGTCACCATCTAGTGGCAGCCAGATGTACAACGAAAAGAAAGCAGAATGCATCGACTACAAATGTTTTTTATTTCTTCAGTCCAAACATCCAGAAAACCCAGGAGCGACTGTAACACAGAGGGGTGGAACTAAGCACTAGAACGATTTTTTAGATTTGACATCACCTCTTAACTGTGCAATGCAACTCATTTGTGAGGTGCTGGAAGGACGTGTCATGACAGTGACCAGAGAACACCAGCTCTTTCCTAGAATGCTGGTAATACAACAGAAAACATGCATCCATTCAGTATTTTTCAGTAAGTGCAGTAAGAGAACATAGTGTGTCAATCTGATTTTGAACAACTCTGTGGAAGTCCTCAAAATCAGTCAATATTTAATTTATGAAACACCACTCGTATCATAAATTGCATATTTTAAACATGAAGGGAAAAAATACAGATATTACCATTTAAAAGGTGTGTCAAAACAATTCAGTCTATGCAATCTGTACTTCTACTGCCTATGTGCAACAAGCACATTGAGATCAGGCCAATTTAGCTCTAGAACTCAAGGACCAAATGCATGTTTCCTTCACAACTACTTAAATGCAGCGCTAGGCTACTTTGGCAAACCATAAGATTTCACAGGAACAAAACTTCTAGCATCAGGGAAGACTTCCTAATAAAGTGGTTTCCCCCAGAGCTACCAAACCAAATCAAAGGCAACCATGCAAAATCCACAGGTAAGAGAAACTGGCAAGGATTTAAAGTCTCCATTAAGCAGACCAAAACAACTCAGCCAAACAAAGAGCCCACACTCCTCCTGAATGGACTATGATAAGCCTTGATCACTGACCTAAACCAGCTGTTACCTTCTTTGGAAGGCAAGGCGTGGGCTATGTTTGTTTGAAAGGACATGTTTTGGCTCTGTGTACTGCAAAGGTCTCAGTCTTGTCTTTCCTGCCTTCCTGAACTGTGCCTCTGTGGAGCTCCTGCCTCATCAGCTGCATCATCTTCCTACACTGCCCAGGACCAGGACCAACACGTTACAACTCAAAATACCGTTGAAAATCAGACAGACTCCTCCCCGCAAACCTCATCCTAAAATATTTCATTAATGCACTGATACTTGCGAATATAAAATCCCTGAGACATCTCCATTCTACTCCACTTTCTGTCCTGTATTACCTATTTCACATGGGTAAAAAAAACCCAAACTGCATTTTCCTGCAATAGCACTCATACGGAAGCTTAAAATGCCCAGAATGTAGAAGCTCCACAGCTCCTTTTTCCTACATTTCATATAAATAAAAGTACAGAATTGCTCTGTGTTTTCCATGGCACCTTGTGAAGTGTTTATTTAAAACGACTGGAGTTGCGGTACTATTTTATACCTTTGATTTAGAAAATACAGGTTCTTAGCAATTTTTAAGGCACGAGCTAACATTTCCCAGAATGCCATTACAAAAAGACAACTTGATAAAATTTATTTTATTAAATGTCCTTTTTGTATTGATGAAAAGTCTTTGCAGTTACATTGTGATTGTAACCGAACATAAAATTCCTTCTCTTCTGGCTAAAAACCCCACCCGAAGCAGCACCAGAAACTGTCACATGAACAAAGCTAAGTTGCAGCTGAATAAAAACCCAAATCTCCTCATTTTGCTTCCACTGGTGCACAAACCTCCAGTATTTTTTGCTGACACTAGGGAGATATTTCCATGAAAAATAAGCACTTGTGTGTTATATCCCAGAATGTTACCTTATGAGTGCCAAAGGAATCCTTTGCCAGCTGTTTGCCAAGATACTGATCCTGAGGCACGCCACTCCACCTTCTGAACTGCAGGAGCCCGCAGTTTTGTTTGGCCTGAAAACCACTGGCACCCAAACCAAGACATCTTGCCACTCCACTGGACATTCAGAAAGCAAGTACACACAGAATCGCTTGGTTGGAAAAGCCCTCAGAGATCATCACGTCCAACCGCTCCTGTCTACCCCCTAAACCATATCCCTAAGTACCTCATCTACCTGCTCTTTAAACACATCCAGGGATGGCAACTCCACCACCTCCCTGGGCAAGTAGAGGCAACAGGAGAGCAAGGAAGACCAAGGCAGCTTTAGTCACTAGGCTGAAGCATGGCTTTAATGGCCAGGCAGCAGTCACACGAGAAAGCAAGTGCATTTTACGTCAAGCACTCTGCAGAGTACAGCCAAGGATGCCTACAGTTTAAAACTCTGACTTAAAGATACAACCAAATTTTGATCGAAGATTTACCCTCATTAATTTCACACAGACTTGTCCTAATAACTTCAGTATGAAGAAGGAGCAAATGGGAAATACAAGGCAAGACACACGGTATTGGTATCGATTTACCAAGTTTCCCTCATGAGGTTTGTCTATGCTGTAACACACCCCACCTCCTCACAGCGGGCTCTGGGGCTTTTCTTTGTCCTTGTGAAGTATTGCAGAAATCAGAGTAGGTATGAACCTCACTAAAAACAAAGATAAAAATACTGATGGAGGATAAAAAAATGAAATCTAAACTGTGACAGAAATCCAGGACAGTGCCAAGCACTACCGTTGCCACGTGTTTTCTGAAAAGTTAATTATTTAGCTCCTTGTTTGGTTTTGTACCAACAGGAGTGAGAGACCTAAAGTTACAAAATCCTAACATTTCCTACCTCCTAGAAAATCCCCACCAGCCTGCTAAAATCTACTACACTGTTTCTATCACAGAGTGCCTTGCTGCCTGAATTTGTTCTCATCTGCCCTCTCCAGAGCTGAAGAGTCACTCGTGCTCTTTCCCCTGTCCAGCACAACCCCAGACCCGAACGGGCTGTGTGAACACAGTCAATACAGTGCACGTGCTCTGCTGACAGCACTCGGCGTTTTTCCTGCTGTACGTACCGCGTGTCAAAGCGGCCTCCTGGCAAAGCAACCATTAGCATGCTGATATTCCTTGCCCTGACCCAGCATACACATTCCCAAGAGATCAGTACCTAATTTGTTTTTCTATCTGGGTTCAGAAGATTGTGCATCAGGAAATGTATGTCACCTTGCATTAAAACCCTGCACTTCTTTTTAACTCCATCTAAGGAATATTCACTTGGAGGACAGAATGACGTCCTGCCCAGACTCGCATCATAGGAAAGAAGCACAAAGATGATGTTGCATACTTATCATGAGGTACTATAATCACATTGGGCACTTCAGAGAGAGCAAGACTGTTGAATGAATGCAAAATATCTTAATATTTCTAACTAACAGATTAAACAATTTACATATTTTCACTACGATACATTTGATTAAGCAGTTCAGCAGCTTGCCTGGAAAGAATCTCCGTATTTCATATTTATAAAACTTGGATATAGAAATCCTCACAAATATCACTGTCATTTGTTAAAGGCTACTATTGGGTTGGCCAAAAAGTAACTGCATCTTTTTTAACTGATGGACACACCTCTTGAAATGTAACTACCGTCATTTTCAACTGTAAATTCATGAAGTAACTGAACAGCTGACAGTTCAGGCTTGGTTAAGACAAGGAAAGTGCACAATTTCATCAACAGCTATTTATTTGGTGTCGATTTCAAAATGGGAAATCAAAAGGAACATTTTCATCAGATTTTGCTGTATTACTTCAGAAAAAGAAAATATGCTGTGCAAGCTCATAAAAACTGATGTGATGTGTACGGTGAAGATGCTTTAAAACCACAGCAGTGTCACAATTGGTTTGTTAAATTTTGGTCCGGAAATTTTGATGTGAAAAGATCCACCACACTCGGGAAGGCAAATCAAAGCTGGGAACGACAAAATAAAGGCACCGATCGACTCCAGTTGGTGTCTAATGACGTGAGACATTGCTGATAATCTTCATGTATCAGAATCATGCCTTGAAAAATAATTTAAAACAACTTGGCTACATTGGGAAGCTCGATATTTGGGTACCACATGAGCTCTAAGAAAATTCATCTCGCTAAGCACGTTGACATCTGCGATTCTCTCTTGAAATGTTCGGAAAATGATCCAGTTTTGAACCACATGATAACAGGCAATGAAAAATGAATCGTCTACAACAATGACAAAAGAAAAAGATCATGGAGCAAGCGTGATGAACCAGCTCAGAGCACTTCAAAAGCAGATATTCACCAAAAGAAGGTGTTGCTGCTGCTCTGGTGGGATTTCACAGGTATTGTGTATTTTGCATTGCTTCCAAGGAACCAAACCATTACTTTGGGTGTGTACTGTCACCAACTGGATAAATGAAATGATGCCGTCAAACAGAAGCATCCAGAACTCGTGAATCACAAAGGTGTTGCGTCTCGCCCTGATAACACCAGACCACAGACGAGTTTGGTCACGTCAAAAACGGCTGCAGCCTGGATGGGCTGTGTTACCACATCTCCCATGTTCTGATAACACCAGACCACAGACGAGTTTGGTCATGTCAAAAACGGCTGCAGCTTGGATGGGCTGTGTTACCACATCTCCCATGTTCACCAGACCTGGCACCATCAGACTGCCGTCTGTTTCATTCTTTACAAAATGCCATGAACGGTAAAACCTTCACTGCTCATGAGGATATCAAATTGTTCTTGAAACTTTTTTGCCGAAAAAGACAACTTTTTTGAGTGTGGAATCAGGAAGTTGCCTGAAAGATGGCAAAAGGTAATTAACAAAATGAACACTATACTGTTTAATACAGTTTGTGTTTCCCATGAAAAATTCACCTTTCATTTACCCAGACAAAAAATGCAATTAATTTCTGGCCAACCCAATACAAACCTGGAGCAGAGGGATTCATCTTTGTTCTTACCACCAAGTCCAGTTCCACATCACGACAGATAAACCGCAGGCTCACACTGAGATCAGTGCTCTCAAAACAAAGATGTAAAGTAGCTACCACTAGACCAGAAGGCCGATGAGGCTGACACTGTACGTGACTACATGACAACACATTTTTTACTCCCTAGACATTCTCAAGTATTTCAAGAGCTCTCTCTGCTGCTCTTAGAATGATGTTTCCTGGTTGTTTTTTCTACTTTTTACATTTGTCCTGCAGTCAAACAGCTAAAGACAGCACAGTGCATTTTATTCCACCGAGTTCATTAACATAACTGTTTCTAAATTTCAGTTAATTACTTCCAGGCAAGCTTGAATGGCAATGCAGTTCTGCAGATGTCACAGGCTATAAACAGAAAGTAGCAGGGGGCACAAATGGAAAGGGCTAAATGATGGGTATTTTTGCGACAATGATTGCTTGTAAGAAAACGCCAGTCTTTACTTTCAGAATCTCAGATGAATTTGTGAATTCCAGTTGAAATAAGTGTTTTTTTCTCTTGTAAATGAGACACATTTAATACTGATAAATGAACGTGTAATTGGGCAACTTCCTTTCAAGCCATGTTTCATTGCATCCCAACGATAATCCCAACAAGAGGAATGCCTCAGGGGACCACAGTGGCTAGCACTTTAATAAGCACTTTGGAACTTGTTAAGTTTATGGGGTTTTAATAAAATAATCTTTAAGCTTTGGCTATTCTCCATTATCCCTATCACCTTCCAGAAACACTTCTCGTCAGAGTATTTTCAGTCTTCTACACTGCCAAAAGAAAGCTATTACGAAGTTTCTGAAGTGCTATACCCAAACCAATTGCACCAGCTCTCACTTTACGACTGTATCACATCCACACTTCATAGAGAAGTTTCAAGAAAAATATGATGCTGGTATAATTTGCCAAACTTACACCAACTGAATCAGTGACAAAGGGATGCCATTATGCCTTCATTCTGACCGTGTTATTACTGTTATATTTCTTAATTTTCATTGTCGTATCTACTGCTGTACTCCAACCTACAGTAAAAGTAACAGGTAACAGAGTTGAATCTGTGAGAAAGGAACACATTTTACCTGACTCGTTTTAATATTAAAGGATTTTTTTGTTTTTCAAATGTCCTATTTCAGCTCGGCTGTGATACAATTCCAGGTAAGGCTACTAAATACTTAGAGTAGTTTTAAACTGAATACACCAGAATGCTTCAGAATTCTTAGAGTGACAATAGTTTCCACAACTGCTTCAATAATCTGCTGTAACATCTAGAGACTTCATTCAAAGCTGAACACATTACTTCAGTTAATAAAAATGTTAGAGCAAACTTAAGAAAACACTCCTGGCAAACAATTCATTTAGGCTTGTAAACAAATCCTATGCATTACAATGGAATACGTACTTGCTCTCTTATCAGCAACCTATGAACTGAAGGGAATTTAATCATTTCAACAGACCTTTTCAGCAAAAACAGTTGTCAAAATATTTCTAACCAGTGCTTGAACTCAAATCAAAACCCCACAGCAGATGGTATTTGACTGAAAGGGGGGGAAAGGAAAAAGATTCCTGCTTTTTCTTGTCTTTCAAAAGTGCTCATTTTCAATGAAGTCATCCAGATGATGGAAGTATTTTCTGATCCTCAGTTAAACACAGGTGAACTAATCAAGGTTAGGTGCTTCTGCACAGCAAAACCTGAAGGAACTTCTCCTCAAGAAAACAAGAAGTGAGTCTGCCGTAAAGCACGTATTTGACATAGCAAACTGTCACTCCCTACACCTACCTCAAAGGCCGCAGCAGGGCAGGCGTTGGTCTCTTCTCCCAAGTAACAAATGACAGGACAAGAGGAAAGGGCATCACGTTACAGCAGGGGAGGGTTAGATAGAGTATCAGGAAAAAGTCTTCTGGTGAAAAGGTTGTCAAGCATTGCAGCAAGCTGCCCAGGGAAGCAATGGAGTCACCATCCCTGGAGGTGTTCACAAGACGTGCAGAAGTGGCACTGGGGGACATGGTTTAGTGGTGGACCTGGCAGTGCTGGGTTAACAGCTGCAATCTGTATTAAAAGTCTTTTCCTACCTAAACAATTCTGTGATACAGCAGCTCAGATGATCTAAAAATTATTCTTTCCTTAATTCCACACATAAATTTGAAATGCAAAACTTTTACCTAAATAAAATTTTAGGCTCTACAGAGAAAGAATCTTAAATTTTATTATTAAAGATAAAAGAAAATGCGATCTTTGAAAGACTAACTTTGGGACAGTTTATATTAAAAGGCAAAGACTTTAAAACACATCACACATTTAATAATTTTATCCACCGGGTATTAAAAAATAGCAATAAAATTATGTTCTAATGAGTTCTCTTTAAAATATTTTCAAGATCTTTCATCTATTCTTTAGCAAGTATGCATTAAGAAAACACAACTTTAAGCCTCCCAAGAGCGATTTGGTGACCACGTGGATACAGTTGTGGGATCTGAGGGGAGGGGTTTTTGTCTGGGCTTGGGTTTTGTGGATTTTCTTCTTTTAATCTATTTGAGTAAAAACCTTAACACTAACACAGAAATTATAAAAAAAGCAGCAATCAGTCACACAAAAAACTTACCAACATCCATGGCAGTTTCCATGAAGCTTTTCTGCCTTGAGGCAAATTCAGCCAATAATTTCTGTTGTCTTTCTCTGGCCTTTTGCCGTCTGAGTGAAAGAAGAGAGGGGAAGAGCTTCAACAATGCAATTCAAAATTCAAGTTCTCTCTAAATAACGGATTCCTTCTCAAGAAAAGGAATTTCTTGCTTTAATTTGAGTCTGAAAGAAAAGAATAAAATCTTGTCCTAAAAACACTTCAGAAAACCAGAAGATCTTTTAACAGGTTAGGCCAAGGTATCATAAGAAAAAAAACAAAGACCTTATCCTTGGGATGCTTCCAGGTTGAAGGCTCTTCCCTCCTGGGAGCCAAGCTGCCTTCACTAACGTTTCCCTCATTGTTGAACACAGCTCTGGATTTACAAATGGAAGACATCAGAGACTCATTCTTGTCTGTCCTTCCATTTAAGCTGTATTGGTGATCTGTACAAGGCTATGTGACCAGCTGTTCTGTAACTCCCTATATGCGCATACTGCAGCTGCTAGAGGAATATCAATGCATGTAAGAAGATAAAGAAAATAGACATTGATTTTCTTCTTCGTGACAAGAGCTCACAAAGAGAGGAAATGGGAGCGGAGCAAATGGCACATGCGAAGACCCACATGCCCCATGGACAAGGACTTCCCTGTGCAGCTAGGGAAGCTCTATCAGAGCTACCAGCTCTTGGCAGCAGCATTTTTCCTCCATTAGGAGATGATTCAGATAACTAACAAGGGATTTAAAAACACTTGGCATCCGATATGCTGAGGGGTTGCTCTTTAGTCCGATTATCACTGTCCTTACACAGGAACAGGCACGCACAGGCCCAGTGCAGCCAGTATACTGTAACCTGTTATTCCCAGCTGGCCTGTTTATAAGTCAAAGCTTCTAACTTGTTTTCTTAAAGGCACCTTAAAAATCCAAGTATCTCCACCTATTTATCTGTCACATCGTACAGCCACCATTTCTCAAAATAACTTCTATTTACAACAACCCTAAGATTCATTATTCTCAGGATCATACCAGGGCATTCATTAAACCTGGTTTTATTTATTTCTCCCTAGGAATTTCTCAATATATGCCCTGACTAAAAGCAGAGTGACTGTAAATAGAGGCCTTTAATAAGAAGGCATAAACAAACCCTGACAGATTCAGCACAGCTCAGTAATTTTCCATGATGGCCCATGGGAGTATGACACTGCAATGGAAAAAATACTGCAAGCAGCTCAAGCTCTCTTTCGTTCTGTATTTCGGTTTCTATGGTGACAACCCGGCGCCTGAGTGACGCCAAGTTCATCGTTATACGTGGAAGTAACCAAAAAAGGGTGATCACGAAATGCTCAGAGCCTGCTCGATCTTCACTAATACAAAACTGGACTTGGGAAAAAGAAAAACATCACGATTAAAAATGAAAGCAAAAACTGCAGCCTGACTATACGAGCAGTGCCAGTCTGTGAGATGAGTCATTGCAGTTACGACACGGTCCACTCATGTATTTCAGAGGTCCCCAATGCCTTTATGGATTTGAGAAGAAGAAAACAGTCCCTCAGAACAGCAAAGAACCAGAAACATTTCTTTTAATCATTACATTAGCCCCAGAACTTAACTGAAAACTTAAAGTGCCCACAACAGATCCCTGAAAATATCGTATCTTCCTGCAGGGGGAAGGGAATGACCTGAACCTTTTCTGTACGAAATGTTACCCGATTCATTGATTCTCGTGCTTCTCCCACACATAAACCAGCACTACTGAGTACCACAATAACGAGTGGGCGTCCACAACTCAGCTGGGTGTCATCTAAAGCAGCTACTCAGTCTGGCATTTTCTGCAAGACTGTTTTACGTGCCAAACCTTGACTATTTCTCTCATTAACCAAACTGTTACATGGGATGTTGCAAATTAACCTATTAACTGAACATTTGGAAGAAAAAAATAACTCTGCTTTGTAAAGTATGCAATATGTAAAAATCTATTAAATCTATTTTTAGTATTTTATGTTTAATTTGCAAATACCAGTGTAGGTCTTGGGCATATTGAGACAATTTAGTGAAAAATTTACTGTCAAACAAATAAAAATGGCAGGGTAAATAAATGTAATCCAGAAATCAACCGAGTCAGATGATTGCAGGTTTCTACCCAAATTTCTAGAACCATAATCATATGTATGGTTACATAAACCATCAATGTTATCGAAATACTGCACGGACAAGCACTCAAGAGTAGACTCACTTGTCCATTCAAGCCTGTGCCCTGACTACTTCAGTGAACGTGTTCAGTTCTGACTCAGCCCCCTCATCCGCTGCACCCCAGCCTTGTAACCCTATCTCCTCACTTTCAATGTCATGTTTCAGTCCTTTGCACTAACCAGTCACCCATTTCTTCCCACTGCCCTACTCCAGCCAACTCTCCCTTCTGGCTGGCTCCATGACATTCTCCAAATGCCAGTCTCTGTCTTACTCGTGCCCTCGAGGCATTTGCATTCCTGTTCCACATTCTCCTTCTCCCATCAGATCTCAAGACCCTATCCTCCACCATTGAGATTTTCACTAAAAACTGGTTATTTCATTTGCTATTCTGAGTATTTATGTCCTGACAATCCAGTTCTTTCCTAACATCTCCAAGTTGCCAGCTTGAGTCTTCCCACGTCAACTCTTCACTGGACCTGGCATCTTCCCTTTGCTCACTATTACATCGACCAGATGGTTTCTCCTTCCAGTCCCAGTCTGCAGCTCTGGCTCCTGCCAGTCCTAGTTTTCACCTCTACTTCTCAGCTCTAGTTGCTGCCCTCCAGGCATTTGAACTGAATTATTCCTCTTCTGTAGGACTCACTCGCCAACGCAGCAGTTGCTGAAAGCAGAAGAGAAGCAGGCTCTCTGCCTTCAGTTTCAGTAGTGCTAGTGCTCCGGGTGCTCTCAGGACTCATTATGTCCCGACCTCAACCTCAAAACTGTCTAAGCTTTTTCCCAAAAAAATCTCAGCCCAAGACATCTAGCATGCAGGTTTTCAGGTCACATTATAAGAAAATATGAAAATAATTTTTAAAAAATAAAAACTATAAAAACTTTAGAACAGAAATACAAAATTGAATGTGTCAGACAGGCAAAAATGGCAGTGTTACCAAATCAACATATAGTAAACAAACAGAAACAATCATGGTGTGATGTGTGCGTGTGAATGAACAACACAAATCTTAAAAAAATTCTACCTCACGTTGAGATTGTACAGTTAAGCCTCAAAAGTTAACACAATCTTAATTCTGCGCCTTTGTGTGTGTGTGTGTATATATATATTATATATACACACACATACATATATATAGGAGTGGTATGCATGGCAACATGAAGGGCGAGTGTATATATAAAACTATATATACATATATTTATGTATATATCACATAAAATCAGTATGAAAGTTTTCTAACTAAAAGATCTAAATTAGCAAGGTGCAGGTTCTCCCTCAGTACCCATGTAAATCATGCATATACAAAGTGGATACAGAGGTGTAGAATTAAGACTTATTCTAAGTAATCCATGCAAACACAGAGCAATCAATAGATACACAACACACACTGCCCTTCTACTGCCCCTTTACTTTGTTATTGGTGTTACCTTTCTTCTTTATCCAGAATTTTCTTCTCTGCGGAACTGATCTTTTTTGGTGGTACAGGAGGTGTTACCTTTCTGCATATCTCTTCAATTATACGTTTATTCAATCTGCTCTGTACAGCAGCTTTCAATAAAATCCTTTCTACTGCCGTCATTCCATCGCCGTGAGAGTATCTCGGAACTTCTGGGTGGATTAAAACATCCACATCATCCAGCCACGGAGGATAGTAAGAGTTTTGTTTTCCTGAGAGTTTGTGGTGCAGTTTGATGAGCAAGGACAGGATGCTTTCCTTGACCTCTAGAATGGCTGTGGTCAGCTGTGGAGTCGCGCCAAGCGCTGACCACTTCATCGATGTTTTGGGCCGAACCACCTGGTTTGCCTCACTGGTGTTCCGATTGATGATCTCCTGGAATTTCTTTCTACGTTCTGCAACCAAACTGAACACTTGAGCTGTCCCTGAATTCTGGGGAAAACAATTTACAGTGTTTGATTTTCAAAAATACAAGTATAAACAACGTACATTTATAGAACTATAGAAAATATTTTAAACTAGGGGGGAAAACCAGGAAACATTTTAAGTTTCCTCTCCCTTTCCAAAAATGTATTGAAATTTGGTACAGCAAAATACTAACCCTGCATGTTATACTTTCAGAGAAATCTGTTATACACAGCTGCATAAAAAGCCAAGTACAAAATGAAACATCATCCATACCAATACAGCTAACAAGTGGCTTTGTTATAATCAGACACAGAATTCTGTTCTCCAAGTAGTATCTCCTTACTTTTTCTGGAATACTCATAATTTCAGTATCTTCATGTGATTTAAATTTCTTTATGAAGGTCTACTGAGCACTGCTGCACAATTTAACACCTAATCACACAGGTGAACACAGGAGAGCCCACGCATCCCCATGTGATTGTCCATTTTGTGTGATTTATTAGCCAAGATCCTGAAGCCACAAACACATCTGCAAGAAGAACTTGCTATTCAGGGCACACAAGAGCAGTTACATCAATGACAGAGCCCATTCAGCTATTTCTAGTCTATGCAACCCTTGCTTTCAGTCCCAAATTAAGGCTACGTGGAAGCAACTCACACATACTGAACCCATAGCAGAGAGATGTTTCCTGAATCTTTCGATGAAATTCAGAACTCTAACATCTTACCCTCTCCTTCTCAGAAGACTGGACAGCCAAGAGATACCAAATATTTCAGAGATTGAGTATAAAAATGAGGTTCTGACAATCATCTCGGCCACCTTCTTTATGCTTTAATCTATTTCATCTCGCCTACCTACTTTAAATTGTGATCTATTGTTCTAACACGAATATGCAAAAGAAATATCCGTTATATTTCACTATATTTGTCATACAGAAAACCGAAGTGGTGTAGACAAAAGCAATCTTGACACAGATTATATTATCCACCAGTTAGAAACCTTTCAGAATCCCATTTACATACTAATTTTGTTTTCATCAAAAACCCAAGTAAACTTGCCATTAATAATTTCAAATGCAATTCCAATGTAAGGTTAAACTTTCTTGGATTCAAGAAAGCTAAGGCTACTCTATATTATCAAATGTTAGTAATATCTTGGCAAGACAAAACAGGCCTAAGCACAAAGCTCAAGCAGTAAGCTATCAACGACGGTTTCTATTTGATAGAAAGCTTGTATGTCAAAAGACGTATTAAAAATGCAAGGGCATTTTGTTGCTTGAAAGTCTACTTGATTACAACCCAGAATATGAAAAGAAAGCATGAGTCCTCGCAATGTGAATTAAAAGGAAACTCAGGGAAATTAGGAGATTTCACTGAATGTTAAGGTGAGCACAATTAAAGCCATGTTGCTAGTTAATCGTTTAGGAGAACAAACTGCACACAGATCTACCTCTCTCTGGAGGCTCTTCCGCCTTGAACTCTGGTAGATTGAGGACAAAGAAAGTCATTAAATACATCATTTGGAAGGAGGTACCATTTGAAATAACTTCTATTTTTGCTATCAGCATACTTAGGAAATATTACTGAAGAAAAAAATATCCTAAGGAATTCATAAAAAATGGTAAAAAATAATCTTAACAATAAAGTCAGAAGAGGCAGTAACTTGAACTAGCCTAGGAAGAGGACTGCTGTGGGTATATACGTACTTGTGATGAAGCTAAGCCATCAGAACTCGTACTTGCCGGTGGCTCCCTCTTCACCTCTGGAGCAGTTTCTGGCACTCTTACTCGGACATAGTTAATGAAGTGACGCATGTTAGAAACCAAGTTACTACCTGGAAACCAACTGTCATGGCAACGCTCCTGTCCACCTGCAGATTCCTAAAATAATGACAAGAAATAGTACATTTTTCTCTTACGTGTTACAATAACTCATGCTGCTTTTGTAACTGTACTGCAGAGGCCATCACCTCTGCATGAGACAGGAACAATGTGCTGAACAGTACGTGCCTCACTAAAGCTGATAGACCTCTTCAAATGATGCCACGACTGATGCCTACTGTAAGTGCTACAGGTCTGACAAAAGCAAATCTACACATTTGATCTGAGCAGAATCAAACATGCCACCAGAGCTATCTAGCAGAAGTAAAAGAAACTACTACTAGTGAACCAAAGCTGTAAAATTCATTAAAAAAATTGGAACTATACAGAAGTTAATCACCGAATAAAAGGTGGCAGATCCGTACTCATATAAGCAATGTTAAACAGTAGGAAAAATTATGGAAGTCATGTACCATAAGCGAATCTGGAATCATGAAAACAATGGCTACTTAAAATCGCATCAAAAGCACAGTTAATTTTGGCTCATTCACATATTTCAGAAGACGCAGAGCTTCAGCAATGAAATGCTCAGCGTTAAAGGTCTCAGTTGAAAAATCTAGAAATTTAAGTGACTTCTAGATTCAATTTTTTTAAGTTTTTTTGCACCCAGTTTCAAGTACTAATGTACAGAGGAGTAAAGCCCCAACCAATCTGTGTTGTCAGGTTACAGATACAAAAACTGCTGAAAAACACCACAAGACACCATACCTCTCTTCATTGCTTAGTTGATCCCTGCTTATGTAAACAAAGATGCTTTATTCTAATTTGTATTGAAAAATCTTAATAAACTCCTATTTCTAAAGAATACTGAATCATTAGACAATACTTTTATATTTTAATGACAAGATGGTATTTATCCTTACCTCTTCATCTGACTCTTGCTCTGGAGAATTTTCCAACCCCAGCTCAATCAAATACAAAACCATGCAAAGCACATGTTCTGATAAATTCTGATGATCCATTAATATCTAGGCAAAAAACCAAGCACACACGTTTTAGGAGGTTTTCTCTTTGATATTCGCACAATTGCATATGTTATTGTTGCCTCTTGTTTTGTTTTCTTAATCAATCACTGTGCTCACAAGAGCTGTATCACGAGGAACAAGAGCCGGTTAAAAAGAGAAGAGCAGACAGGCAGAACACCATGACACCACCTGCCAGTGCATTTTAGGTAGACACTGAGCAGCAATTGTAGCAGTTAAAATCATTTTCTTTTAGTTGCAGAGTAACACTCTTTAAGCCCTACCATATGCATAGAAACACAGTTAGGAAAAAAATATTTTCAAGAGCAGTGAATTGGCTGTTCAAGCTCCTGGAACATGGACTCTTGAAACATCAGTAAGGTATTTTAAATCACTCTTGTTAAGACTGAGTGCTCCTCGAAAATACCCGAGTAGTGGTTATGCTGCAGGCTTAAAAAAAATTTCCAAGTAGGCCAAGAATAATTAAGAGTAAAAACATTAATACCGCTCTCAATAACAGTAATGGAACCTATTACAAAATGAGAGATGTAACTTTGGATGGGATAGATCAACAGGAGTGTTGCATTTAAAAGAAATCACTATTCCACTCAGCCTACTAAGGCTTCAATATATTGACATGTACAAAGAGTGTCCCGGGTGACACACTTGGAACTCTTCAGTTTTTGTTTTATTTTCTTAAGATGAATAAAAGTTCTCCTGAGGTTTAGAAAAAACTAATCTTTGAGCATCACCACAACAGCAGAATTTAATTTTACGCCTTTCCAGTCAAACAAACATGTACCTTAAAACTGTTACTAGTTCAAGCTGCGATTTCCTTGAGCACCAAAGTGCCAGGCGAAGCTGCCCAGACACCACTACTGTCAGCCACAGGCACGAGGCTGCACCCAGCCTGCCCTCCGGTTCTCATGGACTCAGTCACCATGAGGCCTCATGAGGTCCTAGTCCTCTGAGATGCCTGGATAACTAGGGTAACATGAATTTAGTTCACAAGCATCTTCACATAATCCTTTTTAATTACAAATAATAAATAACCTTAACTTTAAACTAATAAATGCCCGTATCTTTCTTATAACACAGCTTTCAGTGCACTGAGAGGAAGAACTAGTGCAGTGCAGCTGAAATTAAGAACCAGGACAGCTTTCCTCTTGAGGATATTCTGATTTAAAGGAAAGAAAATGGCAAGAAGCTGCAAGTTACCAAAAAGTGGATGAGAAAAGTATTTAAAATGTCATTGCAGACAGGCTGCTACAGAAATCAGTATGTTTAGAGTGCAGCCTAGTACAGTTTTGAATACAACTTGGTTTTAAAGGGGCCAAATTTCCTAAGTAAATACACCCAGTTGAAACATCAGACAGATAAAGTTCTTAAACCGAATGTTGGTTTACAATGGCTTTTCTAAATTATATTTGAATGGCTGATTTAATCAAACCCAACCAAATCTGAGATTACAGAGATTATTCAATGAAAAAGGGCACTCAGTATTTTGTTAATATGAAAACCATGTGCAGCTGTACCAGTCAGAATCAAGAGTCATGTTGGCTAACATTTCCAAAAAGTCAAATCATTAAATGTAGTTTACTGTTCTTCTGCAGACAGTCCCCAAAGTCAAAAGATATAAAGGCTGTCATAAATTGGCAAAATTTCACTGACAAAACATAATTGAAGGCAATCCATCGAATCAATGTAATTTCTGCCACCCATAAATCAAGCAGAAATATACTTGGCATTCCAGCTAAAACAGCAACCCAGAAATTTTAAGATTCTTAACAGAGTAAAGAGAAAAAAATGGCCAAACCCCCCCAAGCAAGTCAGTAAAAGATGATGCCTC